ATATGAAAGAATAGTTCGCATCCTACCAAGAATCGATTTTATAAGGGTTAACGAACGACAATGGATACGTGTTTGAGATTCACGATGTCATCGAAGTATGCTCTAAAAGAAAAAGAAAAAAAAAAAAAAAAAAAAAAAAAGAAACACAAAAGAAAATTAATGTCGCTTAAATAAGTTGAATTAAGATGATCTCTGGCGAGACGAATTAAATAGATAAAAGACATTGAGAGAGCATCCGTACGTTTGCGGCAAATGACGTAGAACATTTAATTTTTTTTCTCGTGCAATTTTTTACCACTTTTATCAGTATGATACTGTTGGTTGTACAACGTCAAAGCATTGGAAAGGTTTCACGCGAGTTTTCGAGTCATAGGCACTGGAATACATTTATTCGGGCGATTCGCACGTACTTCACTTTTCCTTTGACCACTGCCGAGTAGGTCGTGTGTAATCTACACGATATGCCAGCTAAAAAGCAGACAGGAGCAGGAGAGGAGTGGATGTGGGTGGGTGGAAAGGAGGCAAAGAGAGGGAAAGGGATTACATAGCGCCGCGTACGGGCCACTCTGTGTACGAACTACCTCACAGTCTATCTAGATTCCAACGTTTCTCTTATTCCTTTTTTCTTCCTTCCATTTCACTCGTTTTCGTGGGAAGAGACTGCATCGCCACCGATTCACTCTCTCTTTCCTTCCGATGTATATTCAAACATAAACACGTATCTCTCCTCTCTTTTCGTTTGCTACCTTTCGTCGCTTTCTTGATCTCGCCGGTCGAATGAGAAAGCTATTTGCGGAAGATATGGGTCGGCCACCCCGAATGCAAAGGTTGGTCGGCTTCACTCTTTTTCTCGGCTGCTTCCCCATCCAAGGTAAAGGCGTGTACCTTTATGAAACGGTTTACGTCGTACAAACGATGAGCAGCCTACCTCTATTACTTAGCTGTTCAAGCAGCCGGACATTGTAGCACTATCCCCTCGTACCACATCACTAGTAAACGTTCAGTTTTGTCAAACAAACTGGACAATTCTTTATTTCTTTTTTAAGAAGATATCAACCTCAGAAACTGCCAACAGAGGTCAATACGATCTGTATTAACGATGCATGGTAACGTTGCGATAGCTTTATTACATACATACATAACCTCTTCCAATTACTTAATCATCTTTTTGAAGTATCTTTTCTTAATTATCTTATTGAATTTATATTATAACGTCATAAAATATTATTTAAAACATTTCGACAAAGAATTAAAAGTTTGCTTAAAGGATGTTTAGAGATTCTCAATATTCATTGGGAATTCAGGTCTCGGATTTCTTTAAATAAGAGTTGAAAAAGGAGATTATGTGTGTACGGGAGAAAGAGAAGGCAGAATTTGATCGTTTCTTTTTTACTACGTTTCAGAAACGAAAGTTGCTCTTCTCATTGTTAAATGAATGGAACGGTATACAAAGAAGCTATGATTTCAAGGGGGTGATTCCCAACATGGATCAGGTAGATAGGCGGAATAACGAGCAAGGAAGAATCACGAAGCTACTTGACGCTAATTGCGCAGGACGCTTATCGTTACATTTACTCACGAATCAGACTGTTGAGTATATGTATATGTATTACAAACACGAATAACTTGAGTGGCTTGACTAATGATCGTGGAAAAAAGACAGAATAACGACCTCCGATCGCTTCTTACATTCACATGCTGCTAATGCGTATACACTGAATATCAAGAATTGTATCAAGAATTGTCATCTTTCATAGAAATTTTGTATCTCTATCTATATGCACAAATGATTCAACCAGTTAACTCGAACTTCGATATAGAAAGCTATACATTACTTTCTTTTTCTTTATTCCTCTTTTCCTTTTTCCTTTTGAATTCGTTACACCAATGCACTAGAACCTCGTTAACATGGATAAAAAGTAACACGGGGGAAACCGAATATCCGTTATGTGTGTGTGCAAAGTGCAGTAATGTAACATAGAGTCACTCAAACTTTCGAGACAAGAGATATGTGCGTCATCATCGAGGTGCGTGGGTGATGAAAAGATCAATGTACGAAGCCGGTCTGCCGTCTGCATTTAATCTCCACGAATAACATTTCTCATCTTAATTTGGATTTATTCATTTACTCGTTTTCAATTAAAACGAATAATAAATAAAAAATAATGCAAATACTTTATAAGATTTTTAAAATTATTCGTTTGAAAATTTACAGTTCATACAGCTCTTTCTGTAAAGAAATTTTACTTTAATTAATATTAATCTTTTATTAAAATATCTAAGATTATTATTTTTGATATTTTTTGATCTATAGAATTATTTTTATAAGCATATCTTTTATATTATGCAATTTAAAAATTTTACGTATAAAATATAAAAAAAAGGAAAGAATTTCAAAAAAAACTTTTACAGAAACGAATTTCATCGATGTCATTAAAAAACAACATTTGATCTGAATTGAAAGCATATTCGTAGCAAGCTATAGAGGAGCAGATGTTTTGTAGAAAATATTACGAACGATTTTTAGTTAGAGAAAGTCGACTCTGCCTTGTGTGTCGGTGCAAATAAAATCGGACCCTAAATAGCACGTCTGGCGAGGGGTTAAAACACCCGTTGGAAATAAAAAAGGCACTGCGCGCACGGTCCTTCTGCATAACGGCATGTGTACCCCTTCTATGTGTACATGTGTAACTTTATGACAGACATGTGTATACAAATTTCAAATGATACGCTCGCCTCAATTGATCATAGCCCGTCTGACCGTAAAATTCGCATAGCAGACGAAAAATCGTAAAATATACGAAAAAAAACTGTAAGTTGTGAAATGAAACATGGAAATCATTTATTTTTATATATTTTTTCAAATTGATGGAAACATATATTTTTATAATTTGTGAAATGTTAGAAATTATTTGAATAGCCATTCCAACTATTATTTGACTTAAAAGTATATAATATAATCGAATTTAATTGAAATTTATACATGACTACGTTAATCAAAACAATAAAGATTCTGTGATATCGTTTTAAAAAATGAATGGAAGTAGAATTTAAAATTGTTCTTTCGTTTATTATAATTTTAAAATAAAAAATTGCTGAACCAAAACGATCGAAAAAAGGAAAATATATTGCGCGCGTAAAATGTAAAATAAAAAAATAGATAATAAATGAAAATATTTTAAACAGGAATATATATCTTTCTCGTTTCTTAAAAACTTTAGAAAAAGAATTTTTGTTAAATTATAATAAGATTATTAATGAAATTGTTAATGTTATTTTAAAAAACTTATAAAAAAAATATATATTAATACTAATGTATATGTATGTATATTAATATGCATATTATGTATGTATATGTATGTATTATTTAATATAGTTGCATATAATAGATATTAATATATATATATTGTATATTAGGATATTCCTATATATATATATATATATAGAAAAGATAGAAAAATAAGAAAAAAATTCAATAAAATAAAAATACAACAAAAATTATATCTAAAAATATTTTAATAAATGGAGTTAATGTAATCAAAAGAAAATAAAGAAATAAAAGTAATAAATTTTACCTTTCTCTCATAATCTAAATTCGGTACAGCCAACCAGGGTAACTCGGAAACGTGTGCACGGAAACTTTCTTCAAAGTCGAGGACATCGGCTACGTTACTCCAAAGAACCACGTGCACGACCTCGAACTTTTTCCTCCTTTCTCTTCCTCTGCTGGAATTTTCTGCATCCCGGTCATTCTCCGTATGCGACAAGTTGACATTCGTGTACAAATCAAGTAGTTGACGTGTAAAGTCGTCGCAGGTAGCACCGGGATTAATGAAACTAAAGTATACACCGATCACTTCACAAGTTGGTCGACCGTCTTCATCGATGAGCATACCACTTGCATCGCACGGTTTTGTGTCTTGCTGATTAACCTGACTGCACCGCGACAATTGTTTACCGAACAGTCTATGTTGCCAACAGACTGATTTCGCGGCGGCCGCAGGTGACTTTTTCGTTACGTTTCCCGAGCTGGATGATGCCTGCTCGCTACAGCACGCGGCCATCGCACGTAATAATTAGCCCGCTTCATTCACCGGCGACACGCACCGACAAACTTTTTGTTTCTATACCGCTCCAAATCGAACTCGATACTCCTTGCCGTCAACGCCGACTGATTCACGTTTCGCTGACTCGGAACCCGCGTCCAATCACGAACAGTTCGATCCGGTCGAAGCCGAGACCTCCCGAATCGAGCCGATGAAACCGCGCTTTTTCATCAATGCATTGAAATTATTGTCTTTCTTTTTTATTTCTAAGTATGCATTTAATAAACTTTAATATATAGTAAATATTACATAGATTATTCACCTCTCTAGTAATTATCTTTAATAATGACATAAATATAAATATATATTAAAAAACAAATTTAAAAATTATAATTTATTTTTTAAATAAAAATTGATGTTTATTTGTAATAATGTATTTTCGTATATTTATAATGTAATTAAATTTGAAAATAAAATTAGATTTAAAAAATATTTTTATTATATATGTTCATATAGAATATAAATTTTGAAATATTTATCTTAAAAATATGAAAAAATAAAGAATATAATAAAAGAATTGTATATTTTTAAAAAATAATTTTAATTTATATATATTCTTAAAAGAATAAATAGTAATAATAAAATGTAATCAAATATATAAATATATTTTATTTTATTTTTATAAATATAAATATATTTTATATTTTAAATATTTAATAATATTTTGATAAAGAAATACATGTTTCTATTTATTAATATATTTATTACAAATATTATTTGCTATTAATATATTTCGGGAAAAGTTATATAAATTATAATATTAAAAAAATTAAATTATTATGTCATTTATTAATAATCTTTAATTAAGATTATTTATTTTTTCTCTTTTTTGATGTTTGAAAAAATCGATCAAAATATACCGATAATCGATATTAATATTCTTATTAATTTAAAGTAAACTCACGTGATATAACTTGAATATAAGTGAAACCGGCAAATATCGAGACATTGTAAATTTATTATTTAAATTGAAAATTAAAATAAACAATTTAAATATGGATGCCATGGTTATTAGAAATGTACTTAAATATTAATAATTTATATTGATAAATCAACTATTTATTTCTAACCTATTTCATATGATACATTCAAAAATAACGATAAAAATCATATTTTTATTTATTAATGTTATTTTTATAGATGAAAGACTTTCAACTTTTGTTTAATCAAATGTCTGAAACATGTTTTAAAACTTGTGTAAATACATTTATGTCAAGAGATATATCTACAGAAGAGGTGTGTTCTTATAATGGTTAGATATGTACTATATTATTGATTTTATTTATGAAATATATATTTATTATAATTGAAAAATATTGACATAATTATACATACAAAAAAATATGTATATATTATAAATTTGTTTTTATTATAGTATATTATATAATTATATCATGATATTTCTTTATTTTATAGGTTCAATGTATAGAAAATTGTTCGGGCAAGCACATTAATGCAAATCATAAAATAATGGAAATATTTATGGATGTACAACGTACTATCGCTTTAAAAAATGTGGAAGAATTTCAAAAAGCTCAGGCAGCATTTGAAGTGGCTCAAAAAGATCAAAATTCAGAAAGTACTAGGTAGTCAATTTTATAAATCAAGTAAATTTTTTATTGTATTTTTAGAAATTATTTTTTTGTACAAACTATTTTAATTAATATGCATTTATTATTATTTACTATTATTTACATTGATATATTACAAAATATTTATATTCTATGAAAATAATAAATATATAAAATATTTCATAATTACTTTTATGTAATTAATATTTTTTAATATAAATATACTTTTAATTTTTAAATAAAAATTTGATATTTAGATAAAAATGGTACTAGTAATTAACAAAAATTCTATAAAAAACAAGATATATAAGCATTCATTTATTGTTTGGAGTTTGTATACACATAATATACACACAATAACATCATGATTAGGAACATAATATAGTAGCTACAATATATTTTATAAATTAAAAAGTGCTTTAACTGTATATTTCAAGTTATTTCATGTTACTTTTCAATCTTATTTCTATATAATAAATATAAGATTTTATTTTAATTCAATTACAATATTTATCTTTATTGATCTAAACATTTCTAAAAAATCTATTAAGTAAGAGAATATAAAATCATAGTAAATGATAAAAAAATTGAATTGGAAATTATATAGTCAATTTAAATTATAATATTAAAATATCACATTATGAATCATAATTTTTGCTTTATAAATAAATATTGATTTAATTCGCAAAAATTAGAAAAATATAGTGAATTATACACATATTCAATATATAATTCATTTATACATATTATATGTATATATGTATTTGAAAATTTATATGATGATCACATTGGAAGAGTTGATTTGAAAACATATGATAAAATATTTTGATGATATCATACTAATAGATTAATACTAATAGATTTATTTTTATGGTTTAAGTTATTATCAATGTCAATGTAAACTTTAAGTATAAGCAACAAACAATAATGACAATGTACATATATTTGTTATATTTATACTAAAAATTCTATTCACGAAGCGTAATGATTTATAATGTTTCAATATATATAATATATATTGCTGTTTCAAAAAAAATATTTGTATAAATAATGTCAATGTATATGAAAGTATATAAAGTCATGATTCAAGTTCATTTGATCTTTATTCACTTAAAATATATGACTAGTTTGAATCTGTTTTGCAACAGTTAAATATTTTCTTTTTATTTAAATGTATTAATCAAAATAGATTATTTTTTTAATGAAAAAATACTATTATAAATAAATAAATTTATATTTTCTGTATTGAAATACTTTGAAATATTTCGAAAAATTTTCTAAATTAAATTAAATTACATATTATTCTTTAATACATTAAAAGTAATTTTTTTTGTATAGATTTATACTTTTATTATAATCATAGATTATTTTTGATATTAATAAATAAAAACTAATTAATAATTTAAAAAATTAAATGAACATATTTGTAAGCAATTTTATACAAATATTATATAATTGCACAAACAAAGTACCATTATTTTAAAAATATGTTTAGGCTTTAAACTGTAAACATGTGATTCATTTCTATTTTTTTTCAAAAAATAACATTTGCTTTTGATATAAAAAATAATGGATATAAGAAAATAATAAACAAAATTAATATTTAAATATAATAACTAAAATGTACAGAATGTTCATAAATTATTGTATTAATATCATACTTATTAAAATAAATAAGATTGTTTAATACACATAAATCCAAATTGTAAATTTCATTTATCAAATATTATAATGTATGTTTTAAGAAAATTGCCATATTTATATGAAAATCATAGATTGAATGTAATCTTCTACTCAATGTTTTAATCTCTATATTATATATGTATATAAACATATATTACATATTATATTTTTTAAATATGTTTATAAATAAATAAAAAATGGAAATATTTATAACGTTCCTGGATTTATATTTATTAAATATTAATACTTTTTTATTAATTTTAATTAATATTATATATTTTTAACATTTTTATATAACTTTTTATGAATATCCTGTACACTTGGAAGTACTAAAAATTCACATGGAATTTTTTTAATTATGTTAAATTTTATAACATAAATAAATATATATATAAATAAGGAATACACTTCTGTTTAGTCATTAGAAAAACCTTAATTAAAATCCACTTAATATTATATAAAATGGAATGAATATTAGAATTATCTAATTGCAAATTTTTTTCATTAAATTAAACTAAATAATTAAATTTAATCAAATAATTCATTTCCAAACATTCATTAAATTGATGTAAAATATAATATAGATAAATCAAAATATTATTTTGTACATACCATAAAATTCAAAGCTCAATATATGATAAATTCATGTATTTACATTAGAACTTCTCTAAGAAGTCAAATATAAAAATTAAATATCTATTGCCTCGTTTTGTAAGCATCACTATTGAATAAAAAGAACAAATGTTACAATAGATATTCTTAATTGTTGCATAGATTTATATAATTAAGATTCATGCCATGTATCACAGATACTGGCCGATATTTAAAGCAGAATTAAAAAAAAATTCAGTCTATTTTTTTTATGATAATTCATTCTTGTTCCAAAAATTATTGAATTTAATAAATTACTTGATAGCAGTGTTTTTTAGTATTTTTTTGAAAATTTTTAAAAGTCGTTCTATTTTGTAATTCCCTTTCATTTTTGAGGAAAAATTCGTATGGACGAATGTATTTTTTATTCATGTTTGTCTGATTATTTAAATTTATTTCTTCTAATGTAACTACTGTTCAAGCCATGATGGTAAAGATGAATTTGGTGATTTAACTTTTATATTAAATTGTTTCAGTGTGGCTTCCAGTGCAGTTTGATTTCCAGAAAAATAAGCAGATACTGCATTATGAAATAATAATAATTGTTTGTGCATTACCTTGATCTGTAATAAAAATAAAAAAATTTTATAACATACAATATTTTAACGTAATCAAATAGAAAAGACATACTCTATTTTCATCTAAAAATTTAAGTTTAATCGAAACATCTGATCTTAATTTTTCAAAATTTTGTTTATGTTCTTCATAATTAGCCTGTGCTGCTTCTAATCTTGCTGCATTGCTACTATCGTTTTTTGTTACTTGTGCTAATGCTTCAAGATCTGTCCTATAGGCATCGTATTCTATTCTGTAATCAAACATTTTGCTCTGTATTTAAATATTTTTTACTTATAAATAATTATACGATATATATAATTTTCCAAATAACATTAACAATTACCTTGCTGTTTCATATTGCCGTACTGTAAATAATGTATCTTCAATAGTTTTATTACAAAGTGTATTTACTGAAGAAACAAAAAAATTTAAGGCCCCTAATAATGTTTCACCATTTTTAGTTAAATTTCTTTGAGTTTCTGAATTATATAAAAATTCTTCTTGTAATTCTGGAGATTTCTGTGCTAATTCAGAGAATGCTTCTCCTAAAGCATGTTGAGTTTGAACAACATGATGGAAATGAGAAGCTAATGCTCTTGATAACCGTAAAACATTACAATACTTTCTTTGAGTATCTCTTAATAACTCAATTTGGGTTTCAAGTTCTATAAACAAAAAGATATAATTATATAATAAATAAAAATAATTATATTGAATTATATTCCATAAAACTTACCTGAATCTACTGTACGGGATGTTTTTCCAAGTTTTTCATACATTAATTGTCTTGTACACTTATATGTAGAAATACTCCAATTTTTAATGCTTTCAATTTTACTTTGAGCAGTACGCATTGTTTGTGTATCACCATTTTGAATAGGTGTATTTGGAGATACTGTTATAGCTATTAAATATGTAAAAATACTTTGATAGTTTCAAAATGAAATTATAGAAATAATTTATGACATTATATTTGAATAACAAATATTATACTTACACATTTGAGATGTAGGACTACCCAAAGTTAAATTTATTGTAGCTGGTCTAGGTTGACTATCATTATTACAATTGTTTGGTACATGAGGTGGAGGAGTTCCACTATGAACTGCACTATCACTATCATTTAAAGATGGAGCATCTTTTAACATTTCATGAATACTTCGCTCCATTCCACTTAATGTAATAGCTATATATATAATATAAATTAAAAATATATATTAATATATTAATATATACATATTTATACATAAAATCCAAAATCAATTAAAAAATATTAAAAACTAAATAATTGAAAAATTTTGAATAATTTTAAATATGCAAAAAAAAAATATAATATAAAAATGATATTTTTTTTTAAAAACTATTAACTATTTTTTAAAATTGAAAGTTAATATAAATATTACTGAAAATTAAATTGTAAAAGCTAAATATAATTATAATATATTTATAAGAATTTTATAAAGATATTTCAATACAAAAATAATAATAAATTTTAACAAGGAATTAAAAGATTTATAAAAGAAAGAAATATTTACATAAAACCGCCATTTTTTATAACATATAAAATTCTAAAAATTAATATATATAAACAGAAAATTCTTACGTATAATGATATATATAGATTATAAGTATTAAAATACATTTTGATATATTAATATTTAACAATCATAACTAAATTCTACTTTATAAATAAAAAACATATCAAGAACTATTATATGACACCTGTTTTAAAATCAAATATGGTTAAGCTAATATCTGTTCATGTATATCAGTAATATATTGTTAAAAATACGAAAAACTAATGTCTCAAAAAAATAAAATTATATTATTTTGAGACAATACTTACTACAAAATCAGAAGATATAAGTATATAATTTCTACTATCCTATGCTTAAAACTTCAGAATAAATCTTTATAATGCTTCATGAGAGATGCACTATACCAACTTAGATGGCGTATATTGCAAACAATTTTTGGAAACACCCGAAAAGTCAAATTTATAACAATTTTGTTCAATTCATTTTATTGTGCGTATGTTTTTTTATATTATAATTATGAGTTACTTTATTTATTTGTTTATAAAAATGTAAAGAAAATATTCAAAACAAGATATAATTTTCATATAATTTATGAATAATGAATTATATATAACTTATAAAATTTATTAAAAATCACTGCAATAAACTAAATTATATATAAAGTTTTATAATAATATATAATTCATAGATTAAGAATATAAAAGTTTTATTAGTTGAAAAAATTTTATAATTATTATAATATATAGATGAAAATTACTTAAAAAAAATATTTATATTTCATTAAGTACATAGTCTACATTTCAACATTCTATGATTGAAGTTTGGGCATGTGGTGGTGTACGAGTACGGAAGCTCCTTCGAAAAGCTTATAAAGGAGTTTCCTCCACGTTTTTGGTTTTGACAGGTATATACTTGTACACGTCTGCATTAAATATTATGAAGTAATAGAATAATATATTTCGAAAAAATTATTTTTACCAAATATGCGATATATTTATGAAGTATTATTATATTAGCATGTTTTATTATTAATTACTTGAGGTTAGGAACTCGTGGTAATATTAAGCATTGTATTTTCATGTATTAAACATTTTGAGTAAATGAAAATATATGGAAATTATTGTATAATATGTTTAATATCAATATAGTGTCTTTCATTTTATACCCTAATTGAAGGAGTGATTATTTGTTCCTAATAGGATTTAAGAAGAACATATGTTGAATTACTTTTTAAGTAATTTAACTATTTATTATTAAAAAGAAACTTTGAAACATTAAAAGATTATTTGATTATAATCAAAATATAATATGCAATATAAATATATTAAAATTCTAAAATATAATACAATTTTTAATTATTTTTAATACATTATATGTATTTTGATTTTTTGTGTACATTTTTAAATGGTTTATTTTACATTTTTTGCATTTATAAAAATCTATATCTAATTTTAATATTTATTTATTTTTTTTTAATTTAATATTGTGTTTTTATTTTAATTTAACATTTAATTCAATGTTACAAAATTAATGGAGTTAATAGATTTTAATTATTCTGTTATTAAATTTAAGTTTTGTAATAACACTTTCAGACAGGTAAATATTTTACCATCATGCCACCAAAAAAATCAATGGAGGAAACTGATCGATTGACTCGTATTGCTATTGTCAATTCTGATAAGTGTAAACCAAAACGATGCAGACAAGAATGCAAAAGATCTTGTCCAGTTGTAAGAATGGGAAAACTTTGCATAGAAGTTAATCCAAATAGTAAGATAGCATCAATATCTGAAGAATTATGTATTGGATGTGGTATATGTGTCAAGGTATAATAAATAATATTATTACTATTAAAATTTTAAAAATATTTTTAATGTATTATATAAAAATAATTTTAAAATTAATTGATGTTTTTTTAAGCAATAAATTAATGTTATTAATTAATATTATATTTATTAATAAAAACATATAATATAATATTATATTTAAATTAATTATATATTATAAATATAAATTAATATACATGTTCATTAATAATAATGATAATAATAATAATATATATTAATAATTAAATGTTTTTAGAATATATTAATATTTATTATTTTATTTTTTGTAGAAATGTCCATTTGAGGCAATATCTATCATTAATCTTCCTAGTAATTTAGAGAAAGAAACTACACATCGTTATTCAAAGAATTCATTTAAACTACATAGACTGCCTATTCCAAGACCTGGAGAAGTATTAGGTTTGGTTGGAACTAATGGAATTGGAAAATCAACTGCTCTTAAAATTTTAGCAGGCAAGCAAAAGCCCAATTTAGGTCGATTTTCTGTATGTATAATACATATTTTCTTCATGTGATTTATTTTATTTTCTACATTTAATTTTTTTTTATTATGGTTTAATGCAGGATCCACCAGATTGGACAGAAATATTAAGTCATTTTAGAGGTAGTGAATTGCAAAATTATTTTACCAAAATTTTGGAAGATGATTTAAAAGCTCTTATTAAACCTCAATATGTAGATCAAATTCCTAAAGCTGTAAAAGGCACTGTACAACAGCTTTTAGACAAAAAAGATGAGTGTAAAAATCAATTAGAAATTTGTGAAATGTTAGGTAAGTTTATATAATTGTTTTAAAGATTTGTATTTTTAAAATATTTTAAAGAAATTGATAAAATGATTAAAATCAGATAAGAAAAATTAATTTTTATTTTATTAAGAATTATTAAATTTTTTTTAGATTTAATGCATATACGCGATAGAGGTATTGATGCACTTTCTGGTGGAGAACTTCAACGTTTTGCATGTGCTATGGTATGCATTCAAAATGGAGATATTTTTATGTTTGATGAACCATCTTCATATTTAGATGTAAAGCAACGTCTTAATGCAGCTTTGACGATTCGATCTCTTATTCATCCCGATAAGTAAGTGGTATTAATAATTAATGTAATGAAATTGTAATGTAAAAAATTTTTTACTTATATAAAATATCATTAAAATTTAACAGGTTTATAATAGTAGTGGAACATGATTTATCGGTTTTAGACTATTTGTCTGATTTTATTTGTTGTCTTTATGGTGTTCCTGGAGCATATGGTGTTGTTACTATGCCCTTTTCTGTTAGAGAAGGTATAAATATTTTCCTTGATGGTTTCGTACCAACAGAAAATTTAAGGTTCCGTGAGGAATCTCTTGTATTTAAAGTCGCAGAAAGTGCAACAGAAGAAGAAGTTAAACGCATGAATCATTACGAATATCCTGCGATGACAAAAACAATGGGTTCTTTTAAATTAAATGTTGAAAAAGGTCAATTTACTGACTCAGAAATTCTTGTGCTACTTGGTGAAAATGGAACGGGAAAGACAACATTCATTAGAATGTTAGCTGGTAACTTACCACCTGATGATGGATCAGGTAATTAAAAAATATTTTAATACAATTATCAATTATATTATTAAATGAAAATCTTATATCAAATATTTGATATTTTGAATTTGATTTTTTTTAGGAAGTATTCCTCAATTACATATTAGTTATAAACCACAAAAAATTAGTCCTAAATCTCAAGGAATTGTTCGTCAATTATTACATGAAAAAATTAGGGATGCTTATGTTCATCCTCAATTTGTAACAGATGTTATGAAACCACTAAAAATAGATGATATTATGGATCAGGAAGTACAGAATCTTTCAGGAGGAGAATTACAACGAGTGGCTTTAGCTTTATGTCTTGGAAAACCTGCTGATGTTTATTTAATTGATGAACCTTCTGCTTATTTGGATTCCGAACAACGTTTAGTTGCTGCTAAAGTAATAAAACGGTAAAATTGAAACATTAAAATTGAATATTGTTATTATTTATATTTATGATTTTAACGAATCATTATTTTAAAGAATCATATATTGAATAAAAAATATTGAAACATGTCATTATTTTAGGTTCATTTTACATGCAAAGAAAACAGGATTTGTAGTAGAACATGACTTTATCATGGCTACATATTTGGCTGATCGTGTAATTGTATTTTCTGGTACTCCATCTTTAGCAACTACAGCTCATAGTCCACAGTCTCTATTAAATGGAATGAATAGATTTTTAGAACTTTTAGGTATTACGTTTAGAAGAGATCCAAACAATTTTAGACCAAGAATTAATAAAAGTCAGTCTGTGAAAGTATGTTACTTTCTACTTTAAATAATCTTTTTCTTTAAATATTATTTAATATTTTATATGTTCATTTTTTTAAAATTTATTTTATTTTATTGTTAATAGGACTTGGAACAAAAAAAAGCTGGGCAATACTTCTTCCTCGAAGAATGAGATACGATCTCATCTATAAGTTGAATAGCAGCTGGTATAAAATACTGTTAAGAAGTTTTTGTAAATCTTTATACGTTTAAAAGCCGGGAATGGATTTCTTACAATATATTAATAACGCATGTTTTGCGTTGAATCGAAATATTATTTCAATATGTCTATTTTTTTGTTTATGCGATATTTATTTAAATAAATAATCCAAATAATCTCTTGATATCAATCTCAATATATTAAAAATTTTAATTTAAAGAGAAGTGCTATCGTATTTTTATATGAAGAATGATCCAACAAATTTATTTATACTCATCAATATTATGTCACAGTTTGCATTTTCAACTCGATATGTAAACAATATATGCATTTTTTGTATAAATAATTTATGTCTGATTATGTATAACAAATTAAACGAGATTTGAATATCTCGTATATGTATATGTACATCTGCTATGCAACATGAATTATAATACATCTGGAATATAAAATGAAATGTATTAATCATTTGATAAACCTGAATTTAATTTTTTAATGTGTATATTATAACATAAAACATAATTTATAACTTTTATTTAAATAATGATTTATTAAATCTATATTTTTTTCCGATTTAAATAATCAACATTACATATTGATCAATTAATTAAATATTAATCATTATAATAATTAATTAATCAATAAATTAAATTATTTTTGAATTGAAAAAATTAATTTATTTTTTTCATGCATAAATATTTTTATATATTATTTCATATATTTTTTAAATATTAAGTTTGATAAAATTGAATGATAAAATAAAAAGCGAAAAAACATTTTCTATCAATTAACTCGGTAAACTCAATATAATATATCACTCTGTTTCTTTAGTTATCATTGTATGAATATATTTTTGCATAATATGAATAATGTATATATACGTAGAATAAATGTTTATTACTAATTCTACCTTTATACATATTAATTCAAAATTTTACTGAAAAATAATTAATTTGTGACATTAACTTTACGAAATTTTAAGATGAAAATTGTAGAAATGTAATGAATAATTATTATATATATTACAAAATAATAAAAAATATATATTTTAATTAAACTACTATTATTTCTATTACTATTTATACTATTAAATTCAAAACTGTACTGTATGTATAAAACTGTATTGTAAATGTAATAAAATTTCAAAATATCAAAATAAATCAATTAAAAATTTGTAAAAATGTTAAAAGAAATTTATTTTTTAAGAAATTTTAAAACTTACATATATAAAGAGAAAATAGATAATGTAATAATCAACATTTTTTAATATTTGCATAATGGACAAAGTCTAATCGAACATCCTTTCCTGATACGTCGATAATGCTAATGCCTGCGACACGTCCGTACATGCTTATTTTTTTTTTAATAACGGTTCATATGAATATAATAAGTATATAATGTTTTAAAAAAATATTTGAATGTTAAGTATAAAAATATGCAACAAAAAATATAATTTCATTTAAAAATATTAACGTGACTTTTATAAAGGTTATCATTCAAGGTTACTATAAAATCCTTATTAAAATCCTACAAGATCATACATAATCGCTATATATCCTTCTAAATCAAATAATTTATTTATGAAACACTTATATCATTTATATTTTTTACAAATAAATAATCTATAATTAAGTTGAACTAACTAGTCTAAGTACTTTTAAATTTAGATGGATTTTACATTAAATAATGTCCTTGACTTATAATTTGAAAAAAATTAACAACAAAAATTATCAAATAATGATAAAATTTAATAACTAAATAATACAAAATAAATATCAGGAAATAAATACTTAGAAAACTATATATTTAGAAAACTATTAACTGATAAATTTATATATATTTCATTATATATTCCATTTCTACTTTTTCTATATATTGATGCTTTAATAGAAAAAAATTCAATAGTAAACGACTGAAAGAATATTGTGTAACTATCGTTAAATTTTCATTGATTAAAAAATTACTTTTTAATCTTATCATTGTCTTCAACATTTAAAAACATAATGAAATTTTATGTATTTTTTATCTTATTGGTTTATATACAATTTTCCTATAGCTATCGTAAGTAAGCCACGTTTGATTGAAATTTCTTATTGTTTTTACACTTAATTTATTTTATTAATCATGTATTTATACACATTAGTTGTACTTATATGCACATCATTCTCTTCTCTTTTTTTCGTTAATCATTATATATTTTTTTTTTATAAAATTTGTCATATTTTATTTAATATCATATCTTTCAAATATATCATTAATTTACCTAGGATCGTGGAAAGAGTCTAAGTATTCATCAATAGTATTTTCTTCACCTGAAGAATGCGCACGAAATTGTACAGATAACGAGCAGCCTAAAAATTGTTATTATTTTTTTCATATTGAATTTTATACAACAGTTGGGCCGTATGTATTTTATAATTAAATTATAACAAAACATATATCGTTATATAAATTTTTTTTTTTTAAAGACATTTTATTTTTTTATATAATACATAAAAATGTCTATATTAAACTAAATTTTGCTCATTATTTATTATAATAATTATTATAATTATTTATTATAGTAAGTTATATTAATTATAGTAAAATATGTAATAAAATATTTAAGTAACAAATTTTAATAATAAAATTGATCGTATAATGTACAGTGCTTGTGATGTGCAAGGATCGAATCAATGTATTGTGGGAGATGGAATTGAAAAGACGTTAATACCTATTAATCGGCAATTACCAGGACCACCTATTGAGGTATATAACGTATAATAAAATATCGGATAAATGAATTTTTTCCCCCGTATTTTTTCATATTTAAATAATAACAATTAGTAATTATAATAAGATTTTCTAATTTCTTCGCAGGTTTGTTTGAACGATCGTGTTATAGTCGATGTGGAAAATGCTGCTATGGGGATGGAAGTGACGATACATTGGCATGGACTTTTTCAAAATGGTTTCCAATTTTATGATGGTGTTCCTTATGTTACACAATGTCCAATTGCATCTTCTTCAACATTTAGGTAGAATTTATATTATTTCACATTTCACTTATTATTATTATTAAAATATTTTTGGAATATATTATTTTTTAATCACTTTCTTAAAGCTGTATTCGATATATATTTAAATAATTCTTATTAATTCTTATTGAAATAAGAAGCAAACAAATAGAAATTTAATATCTATTATTAATTCAATATCTGATAATGTTAATTATTTTATTTTAATTATTAATAATGTTAAATTAAAATAAAATATTTTACGTTTTTTTTTTCAGATATGATTTTGTAGTGAAAAATTCGGGTACACATTTTTATCATTCTCATATATCTACACACATGCTAGATGGACAAATTGGTAGTTTTATTGTCAAAGATCCACCACAAAAAAATCCGCATCGTGATTTATACGATAAAGATGAAATAGTCATATTCTTAAATGATTGGATACATGAATTATCATTTGAACGTTATCCCGGATATTACAGATACAATATATTAGGACAGAGTGCAGAAAACATACTTATAAATGGTTTAGGAAATTATACTGTAAGCTTTATATTATTATTTATTGTAAATTTACCGTATCGAGTTATTGAATTTTTTAAATATTATTTATAACATTTATTAACTCTATCTTATAAAATATAATTCTAAATGGAAAATTATTTAAAAAATTGTAATTTCTCTTTAGAATTTAAAAACCGGTGAGACTACTAATGGAAGTTTAAAAGTATTTACAGTCAAAAAAGGGGAACGGCATAGAATACGGATGATTAACTCTTTCAGCACGGTATGCTTGGCAGAGTTAAGAATCGAGAAACACAAATTAATTATAATCGCTCAGGATGGTGAAAACGTGAAACCTAAACCGGTGGATAAAATAGTGTCTAGTACAGGTTTGATATAATTCAAATTATTATTTCAAATTTGTGATTGTTATTTAATTAATTTATTGTGTTATTGTGAGATGATATTTTGTACTAATTTATTCTAATTATTTTTCTTTTTCCTTTCTTTTTTCCATTTACATATATATAAGTATAGGCGAGCGTGTCGATTTTATCCTCGTTGCAAATCAAAATGTGGACTCTTATTGGATTCAAGTACGTAGTCTTGGGGAATGTGCAACAACATTTATACAACAATTGGCTATTTTAAAATACGAGAATGGTCCTTCCCAACCGTCAACGCCACTTCTTAATTATAACGATACAATAGATGGCGTTGTAAGTATACAATTTTACTTTGCATTTCAATTTCGAAAATTTATTTCGAAAATGATTTCAATTGAATTTTATTCTTTTTAAAAAAAAGTAACTTTATCGAGGAGAGTGGAAAATATACGAAATGCACATAATAAAATGTACAAAACTATACGGAATATATTTATATTTTTTTACGAACTAAAATTTTTACAAATTTCTCAGATCGAAATGTTGAAATAATCAATTTTGCAAAAATATATTTTTAATAGAACAAAAAGATTTTAGAAATAGATTTTGTAATAATAAATGTCGAAATATGAAAATCTAGTTTTAAAATAAATGATACGTGATTCCTATCTTGCAGATATATAATGGATTAAATGGAACGTTGTGTAATACAAATATTACAGAACCTGTGCTTTGTATTAATCAATTGGAAAGTCTTGAAAGCGAGAATGATCTCTTAAAAGTCGAACCTGATGAAAGACACATATTACCTTTCTGGTTTTTTAATTATACTGACACTTCTAAAGACAAATTACTATTTAATTCAAGTTCATACCTTCCATTTTTTAGTAAGTTGTTTTTAACGTCTCTTTAAAGATAAATATCTATGTATATTCTTTTTTTTAATTAATTTTTCACTTATATTTAACTTTGTAAACTATTAAAAATTTCCTTAAAATAGATTGAATTATAATTTTAATAATAATTTTCTTTTTTATTTACTATAATTTTATAGCAATATATTTACATGTATGTATATACATATTTTAAGTGCAAATAATAACACGGTTATATTATACACATAAAAGCAGCATGATATTAAATTTTTATTATTAGTTATTATAGTTTAGTGGTCATCACAGATTTTCACTTTTTAATATATTTTTTCAATTAATACATTATTAAAATTTATTCGTTTGCAAGAAAATCTCATTTTTATTATTAAATATTATTATTATTTCAGATGCAAATGATCGTACTCAACTTCTTTCTATATTCAATGATATCGCGTTTGAGAGTCCAGCGTCAAATTTACTCACACAAAGTAGCTCTTACCAAGCAATATGCAAAAAAAATCAACTGAGCACTTGCACCGAACCTTGTACATGTGCACAAATCATCCAAACAAAATTAAATAATGTTGTGGAGTTAATAATGTACGACGCAAGTATGTTTATGTTTATGATTACGAATCTTTGCTGAATCTTGTGAAAATAATATATAATAATATTTCTTTTAATAAATTAACGAACACAATTACAGTACCACAAACGGATTTGGATCATCCGTTCCATTTGCACGGATATGCATTCCAAGTATTTAGCGTAGGACAATTTTGGCCCACTAGAAACATTTCGAGGGAAGACATAAATGAAATAATACAGGAGCACACGGAACGTCTTCAAAGAGGAGAGTATAAAAATCCACCTGGTAAAGATACCGCGAAAATTCCAATGGGAGGTTATGTAATTGTACGTTTCAAAGCGGATAATCCAGGTAAAAATATTGAAATTCTACCCAGAAATAAATTTTAAGATTAATCTTATACAATAAAATATTGATAAATTCGATTAATATGAACAAAAATCAGTTTCATTTTTTTTTTGATTATATTACAATTTTAAAATATCATAGTATATTGGTGAGCAAGAATATAGCATAACGTTTTATCATAGGATGGTGGTTACTTCACTGTCACTTCAGTTGGCATCATATCACTGGTATGGAATTGGTCATTCGTGTAGGAAACCAAAATGATCTTCCACCAACTCCAAAGAATTTCCCGAAATGCGATAATTGGAAACCAGGGTTACAAACTACGAAGGATTATTTGTTTTTCCCCAAAAATTAGATATATAGTTACTATATATCTATATGATACATAATACATATATAATACACGACCAAATAAAAGTATATTTTTAACATGTACATTTCATTTATTTCTTACTAAATCTTCACGATAATTGATTAACAAATTATTTTTGTTTTAACATTTTTAATTTTTTAATGCTTAAAAACTTTTTTTAACATCGATAGTTTTCCATTACCCGTGGTACTTTTTTTCTTTTAATTTCACAAAAGATTTATTTGTTGGATAATTTTAAATTTATTTGTTTGATCCGTTAAATAATTATTTTATCAAACGATTAAATAATATATGTTACTTAACGATCAAATCAAGTGTAACTAATTAGCTTTAAATAAATAATATATGAAATAAATATATGAAAATAAATTACAATTTATGCGATAAATTAATTTGTTTCGAATACCATATCCGGATGTTTATTGCTTCCACAGGTGGGAAAGTCTAGAGGAACAGGTAAAAAGCTTTCGCGACTTCCTACCTTTAATAAAAATTGCATAACAGGTCCAGATATTCCCTGAGTCAATGCTGTGCTTCGTGCTTCCCACAACCAATATCCTATAGAAATAAATCAGATGAATTCGCTAAATAATACCATCAATTTTATTAAATATAATTTTACCTAAATTATCAGTAAAAAGGCGGAGAATAAGGTAACCTTTATTTGGAACGACAAAACTATCTTTTCGAGGCGGATTTAAAAAATTACGATGTAACTGTTTCTTACGATCCAAAAGCATTACTTCCTCTTTCGTAATCGCTCTTCCAAAGCTTTTTCTTCCTAAGATACTTGCGTTATAACCATGTATATGGAACGTATAAGAAACATTTCCACCGAAACCTGAATTAAGAATCACTTTTAATAAAAAAAAAAAGAGAGAGACAGAGAGAGAAAAAAGAAAATAAAAAAAATAATGTACTTGTATTATAAAAATAAATCTCTTTGACGATTTACCCTGATCAATTAAAATGATATCGACATTTTTATTAGGCGAGACTTCGATTATGCGAATACATTCACAAAACAATGGCGTGTTAGCGCACTCTTTTGAACGTTTTTCAAGAGAGCAAATTGACTCCTCTGCTGTATTTTCCGGCTGAGATAATAGCGGGGATGTAGGATACTTAAATGACATATGATTAATTTGAGCGACCTTTGCCTCTTCTTCATTCGTACCTGAAATTAATATATATTTATTATTATATAGAATAATAATAGAAAAATATAAAAAGATTTCTGAAAGTTACGAATCTAATTAAATAAAAAACAAAATATGCTTCATATATATATTTAACAAGATGTATTTGTATACTTAAATCTACTTACTATACTTAAAATTACTTACTTAAATCTGATGGATAAAAAGGACATCCGTAAAAATTATATCTATAATCGGACATTGCATCCGTGATATAAGAGAAAGAATTCACATCGAATGGAATATAAATAATTTCGCTCGAATTAATTTCGTCGACCTTGTTCAATCCTTTTAAATCCAATGAACAAATAAAATTTCTTGATATCTCGTGACAATCGTGACCCATGTTCGCAATTGTATAGTTGTTGATTTTTAATAGTTGCTCGTCCTTTATCACAACAGATTCCGGATTTACGTTATCATAAAGAATAAAAGCTTCTTGACGAAGATCTTGACAATCCAAAAATCCCTTTATACTGACAAGATACTTTCCAGGAGGTTGATTTGTTTCGATAATTACGTCAAATCTCTCACCTAGAATTAAATTAATATATATAAAAATATTTATAAAGAAAAAAAAAAAAGATCATCTCAATATTTTTACTTGAGGGGGGGGGGGGG